CTATCAAACAAGGGATTCTTCGTCGGATTCATTCAAACCATTGCGAATAAACAATTAGTAGAACTCCGCAACTTGTTAGGAGTAGGGGCTTTATTGTACGCTTGCTCCCCCCTATCCTAACAAGCAAAGTGAACCCTTTAGAACAAGTTTTGGGTCTAATCGGAGGGTAGAAATTTCTCATAGATAAGGTACATATTATCATCCATAAAGTAAAAACACGAGATTGTGGTTGGAAAGTTTCTTTCCACACTTCTCTTAGTTTTTTTCTTTTATTTTTAATATTCAATTGGTCAGGGCGTGGCAAATACCGATTTTACATAATCCGACATCTAAGAATTGGTTTGGTTAGTTTAAATCAATCGATTCAGTCGGATATCAATTCACCTCTATTTAGAGATGATATTTATAAGGGCATGCATTGTTGCGGGGCAACCAATTGTTAAGATGAGAATAATATAATAGACGGAAAAATACACTTTTGGTCATTGAAGTTTGGTGTAGGTGTTTATTTGGTTCAAGAAGTTTCAAAATGGACATTTTTTGTCCCTAAAGTTTGGAATAGGTAACTATTTGATCCTTAAGTTTTAAAATGAATACTTTTGGTTCCTTAAGTTTGTAAATTGATTCTAAATGGTCCTTAAATTATTTTAATAGTTAGTTTGATTACCACCACATTACGTGGCAGTTAATTTGCTTACCGTAAGTCATTAATTTGATATAATATATTAGTTTAATAATATTTTTAGTATGACTAGACATATCATCTCTTTTCCTGTTCTACTCGTTGTCTTCTCCGATGAGCCTCACCATCGCCATTTCTGCGTCTCTGCCTGCCGTTCCATTGTAATGCCTCAGACAATATACTTTGCTGTCGTTGTGGCTTCTCATCACCTCACCGTCGTCGTCGACGCCATCGACATATGGGATGAAAATATAAACCTTTGATGTTGCTCTTCTCGTTGAAAATATTGTAGAGTTTTTTAAGGATATTTAACCATCCACCTTAATTAGTAATTTAACAACCATGTTTTTTTTCTTTTTCCTTTTTCCTCTTTGTATTGCCGATTTGGAGTAGGGACCACCAAAGGCTTTCTCTTTTATTACTTTTTATTCTTCCTCCCCTCCATCTCTGTACATTATCTCGTTGGATCTTGTGCTCACTAATTCATCGATCCGTCTCCTTCAACTCTCAATTCTCAGCTTTTCTTCAATTTTTTTCTCTTTCATTTTTCATTTTTGTTTCCATCAATCAACGGTTAAAATATTCCAACCTGAACGCTCCGACAAAAAAAATCGTAAGTTTGAATCTCTATTTTTATATGTCCTATTGAAAAAATAGAGATTAAAATATTTATTTATGTACTGAGTTCGACATTAATATTTTAAAGATCAATAGATATCTCGTATAAATATAAAACATAAAAATTATCATCAATTAATAGTCCAAATGAATATAAATACTAACAGTTACTTCAAGAAAAAAACACTAACGGTAAGATTTATGACCTATGTAAGAAGTGAAAAAAAAAATTGTTTACTAATTGAAATAACTTTTATTAACTTTTTTTTAATGAAAATAGCAGCCCATGTAAATATATTGATACAATTAAAATCCCATTATCGAATATACTTGTCGATGCACTATTAAATAATACGATATTTCCTTCTACATTATCATACTTCTTTTTTTTTTCCTAGATTTGACATCAACTCTGATTATCGACGGCTAAACTTGACATAGCTTAACTCAGATATATATCACCGACCAAAAAGTTAGAAGGTTCCACATCATACTAAGATATTTTATTTTTAATATCCCATACAAATATCAATGAAATATTTATATATAAAACAAAACTTATAGAAGTGAAATTAACTTTATTAATTTATAAATTTATTGATTTATTGGAATATCAGTGAGATCCTAATATCTATTGACATCCATATACATAAATGCTTTTGGGACCTATTAGATATCTTTACGCAGGTAGATATTTCCATTGGACGTCACCATATTTTTTAAGAATTTGACATCAACATAAATAATTAATCAATATTTTCATTGTATGAATATAAAAGATAAATTATAAATTCGGTATCCTTAAGCAGGTATACTTTAATTAAAAAAGTTTCTAATAAATCTCCCAAGTTTTATGATTGTATGTCTTTTTTCTTTAATACATGGTGTGTCTATTTAATCTCATACTTTAAAAAGATTTTAATTGAGAAGTTGCGGTTCCCACTTTCGTGGCTACTAAATCTCTGCTGTTAACTTTATTGTTATAATAATTGTGACTTGAATTACTCAAAATCATTTTGTTATACAATTCTTTTTTGATGCAATGTTATACAATTCTTAAATAATAGGTCCACATGCATATGTCACATAAATGTTAAATTGATGGAGTTAATAATAAGAACCTATTAGACTCAAAATTAAACCTCTTAAAAATATTTTAAATGTGTAGTGATAGGATAAACACAAAATCTTAAAAAGTTATCCCTTTGAAGAACATATTAACATACATCCTTAAAAATTTATGAATCGCTAGTTATTTAACCAAAATTATAAAAGATGTTTACCAAATATTGTGAACATAATACTAATAATAAGTACTTTTAGCATAGATATGATTCATGAAATACTAATAAATATATATATATATATATATATATATATATATTTCACAAAAGTTATTCGACATCCTAACTACAATATTTTCGTAAAATTGAGACATCAGCATTATTGACATGTTTCACATCTTTAATATACTTATTTCTGGGTTTGTTCCAAATTTTCAAGTTCAAATGTTAGGTTCGATTATGAACATTATCGCTAACTTCATTTTAAATATTACCAATTAAATTTTTATAATCGTAATTGACAAAAATCTTGTATACATTCTTAGTTTTTGAATTTTATACTAAACTGAATACATATCCATTGCTATTGCCATATAAGATTTATATTAGTTTATTTTTTTAACTTCAAAAGAAATATATATTAATTTATTTTTTTAGTTCAATAATATGTTAAAATTCCATTATCTGACCCCTCAATCGAAGTTAATTATAATAGCTTAACTAGTAGGTTGTACTCGGTATTAACTTTTTAGTTGAGATTTTTATTAGATGTAATATATATAAAATTTAACCCTAAAAGAATCTAAATGAATTTTTGTGTGAAGTTTATAGGTGAGTTTGATATGATTGAATTTATTGATTTTCTCCTCTAATTTCTCTATAAATGGATATTCTTTTCATTCTTCTTCCCAGCAAAGTTTTATTTTTCTCTCCTTAATTTTCTTATATTAGTTTCATTTTCCTAAATCAAATAGCATTACATTATTGCAATCATGTATTGAGATTTATTTCCATAACTTTATTGAACTGAACCAGAAAAAGAGAGAACATTCTTGTAAGAGTACTGCTCAAAATGTACGTGGATGAAGAAAATAAATACAATACTTGTCTTGAATATTAAATTATTTTGCCTTTAAACAAGACTAAATATATAATTTCATCCAAAATGTTTGTGTCATTTAAACATTTTGCCTATAATAGTTTGAAATTTTCAATTTTTTTTTAAATCGTTACAGTACCACTAAATGTTGAAATAATTCATTAGACATAAAAGATACATTGTATAATATTAATTGAATTATAAATATCTAATGCTTAATTTTCTTTAATGAGTGGAATATATTCACCCATAAAATAAATAAATAAAATGTTCATTTTATATGGCTTGACTCTTAGTTCTAATAACATATTTTTTAGAATATTACGTAATAAATATGTAACAAATACCGCGGTGATTGGTCCGAGCCTGTGACTTTTAAAGGAGGTAGATGGGCAACCGTCAGTCTATATGTTGCTCGTGAGCCGACAATGAACTATGTTCTAACTGGCAACTCCTAATAACCTACCTCAACTTTTTAAATTTTCATATCATTATTTTTATGGATTAATGACGGTAATTAAGAAACTTTGATGCATAAAGATATTTAATTTGAAATTTTTGAAAGATTTGAGAGAAGAAATTTGAAGTTGTCAACTTAAGCTTAACCATAACTTAACAGTTAAGACGTTTTATATTCATGGGACGTTTGAATCCCTACTCCCCTAATTTGTAATGTTATATGTTCACAAAAAAGAATGAAGTAGAAAAGTTAAATTTACATTTGTGGAAAATTACCACACATATGTACTGTAGAGTTGGGTTATAAGATTTAAATAAAACTAAAATTTTAGTTAAATTTAGTTCAAGGGTTGGCTAAACCAAATCTACTTGAACTTATTATAAATTTTTTAAATATCTCATTTACTTAAAAGATAAATTTATATATGCATATATCTAATTTAATTTGATTTATTTCTATTATTCCTTTTAGATTCGGTTAGGACTGCAAAGATAGGTGAAATGAAAAAAATTGTCCTCACACAATGGTATCGATTATTTAGCCTCATGACTTTACTTGTTTTTACCCAAAAGGCCTCATATATTAATTTGAAGATATGTAAGTATTCTGGTGTCCTTAACAAGTGTGTGATATTAGAGTCATAGTCTAAACCTAGTTATATCGGTGAAATCCTCAAATTATTGAACAAAAAGGATTTGGTGAGTCCTATAGTCATTACGAAATTGTAGATGAATCCATCGATCGGACAAAAAGTACTTGACGAGCAAGACAAGCTCTATTAGGTCAGGTAGACTGATAGAAAGAATAAAGAATAGCCCTATCAAATCGAGTTAGATGGAGAAGAATAAGGTTTCTTTGCTCTAATGGGGGAGATTAAGGGGTGCGGTTATCGTTCCACACCATGTTCCCACAATTTGATCCGTGTGGTTATGCTCTATCTGGATATGCTTGCAGTTTTGGATAAGAGCAAGCTCAGTTGCCCGTCAGAACTGGACAGATGAATGACTATTCGAGGCAATATACAAATGGTGTTTTGTTCGATAGGAGGATTGTTAGAAGGGCAAACAAAGTCTCACGTTAGCTAGGAAAGGAGGATATCCATATTAATATAAAGTGAGTACAATTATCTCCCTTGGTACGAAGTCTTGAAAACCTCAAATAACCACACGCTCTAACTCTAATAATATTTCAGCTAGGTTAGGTTGGTTCATGAACAAATTTAATTTATTACTCAAACAATTATATTTAGTTTAAAAACAGTCTAAGTGACCCAACCTAATCCAATCCATAAACAACCTTAGTAACCAAACAAAAGAAAAACAAACAAACAATCAAACCTAGCAATTAATTTAAATGTTCAAAATATGATGATTGTTCTAATGTAATGAGATATTAGCTTTTTCAAGAATCAGCAAATTGAGTAGAATACCTTTTCCATTGTACTTCTTGCCATGATCTCTCTTCTATAGTTTCAAAGATTTTCCATTGCTGATCTGAATTCCACTCCAAGAGTCTTTAGTATCATTCATCAGAAGCAAACTCATCATCCTTATTTGGTTGATCTCCATTATTCTTTTCTTGAGAAACAAATTTGGGAGCCATACTGAAATGAAAGGGCCTAACATTATTGGGTGGTTGGTTTATTGAGTTCAAGGGAGATGTAAGACAATTATTGTGAAGCAAGAAATTTTGAGAACTCGAGGTGAACATTTGCAAGTGATTATTGACTTGTCTTGGATCAAGCTGATCTAGAGAAGTCTGTGAGATTCCTGGTGGGCAAACTAAAATTTGAGACCCTGTTGAGAGAGACAAATTAGGCAATGGGCGTGGCAAGGACAATACATTGAAGTTATGGAGATCTTCGGCCGCCGCGGCCTGAGACGTAAAGAATCCATGGCTTCCCGTAGGGTGGTGAGACGACGACGACAAGAATGGAAGATTTGATGGCTCCCAGTGATACCCGAATGGGGCATTGCCGTTCGCAACGACGTTGTTTAATAGAGCAGAGAATGAAGGAGGGTGAGACGAATTGGGTGTATCGTTTTTGTGTTGCCTTTCTTCTTCGCCCTCGTCGCGAGGGTTAATTTTGAATTCCGATCCATACGAGTTGGTATGAGCTAACATGGATTGGAAGTTGAGGCCGAGGGTGGTTCCAGATGGGATTGGCAATGGAGGAAGTTCATCAATCTCATCCTTAGCGGCATTGAGCAACCAGTCGACGACCTTGCTCGGCTGGTTGAGGCCGAGCCGATCCTGAAGATCATATAACTGAATTGCAGTGGAAACCGAAAGCCTTACGCGCCTGTCGCGTAGCCCTCTTATGGTGCAAACTTTGCTGTGTCGATCTTTGCCTCCGAAAGCTCGGGAAACGCGCACAATTCTCGGATCTTTCAACCTAAGCCATGGAGATGAACTTGATGAAGCTGCAGCTTCAGCTGATGATTTGCATTTGCTAACTTTTCCAGTATGATCAGCTTCCAGTTTTGAAGGCGAATTATCCTCTTCTCTTGAATTTGTAATCATCTTATGTCTCTCATCATTATGTTTGTCTGCAAAATAAACAAACAAACAAAAAAAGAAGAAGAAGAGTTTTAAGTTTCAATTTGCAGCTCATGAGCCATAGCTTGTGATTTTCAAACAAAACCCTCAATTTATGTCAAATTAAATTTGGAGGAAAACCCTATGATCAGAATAAAGTTGAACCCATTTCATGAAGTTAATTATTCCACAGGAAAATTAAAACTGTCCAAAAATTTCATCTCCTCAACACCAACAAGAATTAGAGTAGGGAAATTCAAAATTTTCAAACCCCAAAAAGGGTCAGATTAATTATTATCCCAAATTCTCCCTCTGCAAATTTCTCAAAAGGTTTTCACCTTCTCCACTGATCATTAACTAAATATGTGTGCCCTATTTCTTTAGTGATTTTCGAGCTCAAATCAGATAAAGGCAGAAGAAAAGACTGTATTGGCTCAATCACTGCTGAAAATTAAGAGAGAGAGAAGAAAAAAGAGGGTTTTGATTCAAAGATTTGAAGAGAGACTTAAATTACTTACGCATAAGCACTGAATTCACCCTCAGAATTAGTAGTTTTGATGCAATATGAAGGCTTCAAGTTTGGAGATGAAATTGAAGTCGCCAAATTGGTGAGAGACGAATGAGAGCCTTAGCTGCAGCATATTGGGGTTTTTTTTTTCTGAGGGCAAAACCTTCCCTTTTATTTTGCAGAAGGGTTTGGAAAGAAAGAAAGAAAAAAGAAAAAAAAAAAAAGAGGAGGAAGATGCTGGAATTCAACCGACCATCCTCCATGGGAAAGCTAAAGCAATGGAACATATGCAGCCACGTGGCTCTCGTATCGTCATCGACTCGGATAATTGTACTACCTCGACATTGATAATAAAAGAAAAGAAAACTTAGGCCACCATACTTATTCTAGGGGTATTGATGTCTGACATTTGCGGGTTTAGAAATTAACACGAGGCTCAACAAGTGATTACTATATTAGTTGTTGGATAGAAAGTAATATTGCGCGACTACTACTCGATCTTATACTTATTCTTATCCCGAGTGGAATAATGTAACGAAGATTTTTCAACCACGACAAATTTTAAGACATAAACCATGGGAAGGAGAAAAATGTTACAAAAAGGAAAGAAATTAATAACATATATATGTTTGAATTGAAAGATGTTTAATTATATGAGAATTGGGGGACCATTTGGTGCTGCACATTTTTGAAAAGTAGTGAGTAGTGCTTTATCGACAACTACAAAAGGTTTGGCTTCAAGTCCTATCCTATCACATGGGCTTGATGAGATGCACGCCTAGTACGAAGAAAAAAAAATACTCTTGATGTGTGCATCATGTGATCATGAGCAAATCTATGGATAATCAAGTTTATCCCTAGCTATCTCATGATCTTAGTGCCAATAATAAGCCTAATTAGTTAAAAGGGGTGAACTCGACGTGCAACGTTATCCTATTTTGGAGATTTAGTGTTTTCAACTTTTCGATTCAATAGTGATTATTTAACAACGGGATATTCTTCCTTTCGTCATTTTATATTAGTAGTTAACTAGTGGATATGTGGAACTCCTAACCATCAAACAAAAATGTTTGAGTCTAAACACCATAATAAGTACTAGGATTATAGTAGATTTGACACATCAAGGTCTCAAGACACAAACCATCAAAAATTTAACCCAAAAAAAAAAATTGCAAATAAAGGAGAGGGTAAAGATATTGATTTTATTATTTTTTTTTTAAGAAAATGTATCCTTCATTAATAACTGTTGCATGCCTTCATTGTCACTAATTGGATATAAATATTCCATAAAAATATTGAATCATTATTGGATGCAGATTCAAAATCTATACCTTGAATAACATTTGATACAAAGATCCAAAATATATTCTTTAATTTCTCTCTCATACATTTAATAGGAGAGAGTATTTGTAATTTCCCTATCATACATCTTTTTTTTTCGATGTCGTGTAGCTTACGTTAGTGGATCTCTATAATCGAGGCTCATTGCTTGAGTTGAATAACACAGTAATCAGCGTCAGACTTAAACATACTAGATTAATAATATATATACTCTCATACATGTCTATCAATTTAAAACTACTAGGAGAGAGAGACATCCCCGCTCTCATACATCTAACAGCATAAAACTAGTAAGAGGAAGAGAGAGAGAGAAGCTATAGTAAGTAACAATGAGAAGCTATAACTTAGTAGATGATGGACCATTATTTTCATATTTCATTGTCAAAGAGGGGAAGAAAAGAAGGAGAAGAAGGACCACACAAACTTTTGTTGTCAGAGAGATATGCATGGAAGGGAAGGCAAGCCCCTTAAGCCAAACCCAAACGCCAAACGCAACTTGGAACTGTGTTTTTAAGACACCCCCAACTCACTTCACTGACACACACAAACCCCAATTTCATTTCAATATTAATCACTCTCTCTCTCTCTCTCTCTTTATTTGATAGCTACAAAAGTCGTATCCCATTTCCTCTTCTCTTCTCTTTTACACCACATGACAATTTCTTCTTTTTCTTCTTCTCTTAAAGATCTTCATGCGTGGGAAGAAGAAGATTCACATTTGACTAGCTAGCATTAAAATTGGTACAGTATTTTGAAGAAGTTGAATTAAGCAATTAATTAGTGTGTTAATCCACATGCCTAGCTACCAAAAGCTAATATTATTCCATCTTCTTTTTCGTGCGCATGGATGCCAAAAAGTGGCTTCGGACAGCAACTTCATGTGGGGAAAAAAACAAAAACAAAAGGGGAAGAAAGAGAAAGAAAAAAGATAAGGGATAAAGAAAACCCAGAAGACGAGAATTGTTATTGAAGTTAAATGCAAGGAAAATAAATAAATAAATAATTGTGGGTTTTTTATACAAATCATTGCTAAAGAAGAAGAAAAAAGCAAAGTTGTTGAAATTTTCATGTCGACGCCAAACCCAAAAATTCCTCTCCCATATATGTCACTCACTTGAAACAGAAGGAAAGTTATATACCTAGAAGCAATAAAAAGATCAGATTTTTATTTTTACTTTTTTTCTCTTTAAGAGAAGGCAATAAACCCAAAAAAGAATATCCAAACAAGGGTCTAAGAGAAGAATATGCATCATTCCAAAGCTAAAAAAGAAAATATCAATGATTTTTAGGGTTTAATTAATTTGGATTTTTGGGTAACATTTGTTTTATTTTCCAAAAATGGATGTCGTATGGCTTATGCTAGTGGATCTATATAACCAAGGCTCGTTAACTAGGTGGAGCAATACTATGACAAGTGCAGAGCTCAAACTTGAGATCTCAAGGTAGGTAGTACGTCAAGACTCGGCCAAGTGCTTGCCACTGCACAATCCCTACGGTGATGAATTTGTTGGGATCAATATCAAACTGACGGTCCTAGGCATCTGAAGAAGTAATAAAGAACTCGTTGGAGGTTATATTTGACCAAAGTTTCACATCAGTTAAACAAGGAAAAGATCAATGGTGTATAAGTAATTAAGGACGACTACCTTATGAAGTTTTTTTTAGTAAAAGACTTATGCTTATAAAAGTGGACAATAATATAACAATACATTATTATAGAAATATGTTGAGATTGGATGTCCTAATTAACAAACCATAAACCATAAAGTATGTTTTTCTCCTCTTATAAGGAAAGCCAACCCAAAAAGGCATTGCCAAAGAATGCATAAAAGATATATTTTTTCCCTCTTATAAGGAAGGCCAACCCAAAAATGCATAGCCAACCAATAAATATGGTTTTTTCCTCTTAATTGGACAACTTTTATCTAAGCCTCCTCCTTATGTCTCTCACCTACTTTAATGGATTGATACTTCTTTACAAAAATAAAAATAAGAATTATCCCACCAAAAGCAAGGGATCATAGAACAATCCATAAGAAAATGAAAATGTTAAGGATTTTAGGGTCTAAGGGAGGTATCTACTTCTATCATTTTCTACTAACATATTGATCTAATTTTTTTTTTTTAAAACGACATACCATTCATTCAAAAAAATGTGTGAGAAATATACAAGAGGAGGATTCTAAATAAATACGTTCCAGTTCAAAGAGATGGTGAATAATTGACCAAATATATGTTATTAATAATTTGATAATTCTAAAATCATTTTTTTAGTACAAAAGTGGGAGTGAAAAGATTAGAACTTATAACCTCCTCGTCAGAGACATTGTTAATTATCACTGAACTAAGTTCATAGGTTGGCGATTCTAAAATCACTTTTGAAGTCTTATATTAATCATTAAAAATCACTTGTAATTATATGAAAAATCACTTGAAAATTTGTGTAACCAAACGTTAAATTTAATTATATAAAAATCACTTTATTCCCAAAATCACTTGTCACATAATCTCTCCTTCTAACGTGGTTCATTCCAAAATCATTCCCAAACATATCCTTAAATTTTTTTCCGTTCCTCTCTGGGAAGCAAGCAACCTCAAAAAAATATCCAAAAACATGCATCACACCAAATTAGCAAGAGAAAAGAAAACAAAACCCATAAGAAAAGAAAATGTAAAGGATATTAATTTTAGGGTTTGGATTTTTTAGGGCATCATGAGAAGAAGCGGGTGAATTATTATATTATATTGTCTTTTTTTTTCCTTTTTACAGCTCTATATATGTTCTTCTGTTGTTGACTAACTGATGATCTAAAAGATGTTTATAGGGATGATGATTTACCAATAAATGGTCCCCAGATTATATTCTGGACACACACTGATTTAGGGTCTCAGTTTATGACTCATCACATTCACTTTTCTGAGAGCTAGCTAGCAGTATATGTCATATTGTTTTGAATCTCACTGCTCTCTCTATATAAATTATAATAATGTTAAATCACTGTTTTTTTTTTCTGTTTTATTTATTTCTCTGTTATGGTTTCTTTTTCTGACATTGGTGAGCAAAATGGGTAAGAGCTATCACTCTCTTGGGGTCTTTTAACTTTATATCATTATATCAACATCACCTTCAAAATTGGGCTTCTCGTCGTGTTTAATTTGGACTTAGTTTCAATTTGGTCACATCTTTAAATTGTTTTTTATATGATTTCGTAAAATCGATATCATGTGGCTTACGATTTGGATCTATATAACTGAGACTCGTTGCTTGGGTTGAGCAACACAGTGACCCGTATAAGATTTGAACACAATGTCTCGTGGTAGGTGATACCACAAGTCTAGGATCCTTTGCCACTACGTCATCCTCCAGGGGACTTCTTTAAATTATCTTTTACCCACGTGACCAAACCAGCTAAGCTTTAATATAGTCGACTAACACAGATTGGCCAAATAGAAAATATCAACTAATTATTATTACGAACAAAAAAGAATGTTGGTATAGTAACACACGTTAGGAATAATTTGTGAGATTTGACTAAATCATTAGAAACAAATTGAAACTTTTAAAACATGATATCTATAAATTCGAGGTTGTGCTTTGGGAGGAAATCATCATAAACACTTCTGCATGGTCCTCGAAACTCAATCTCTTTTGTAATTAGGATATTGCTACCATTTCCTTCAATTGTATTGTCTTCTTCTAGGCTCCCCTCTGGTATTGTTTCTCCACATACCCTTTAATAAAATGGTACTTCCTTTTAAAAAAAACAAAAAAAAAAAATTGAAACTAAAACTAGATTGAAACTTACAAAATTAGAAAGATGAAATTGAAATCGTATCCAAAACCACACTTACCAAATTTGTAGTTTAAACATTAAAAAACAAAAAATCATGTAGTTATCTTCTTTTTAAAATATTTTTTTGCAAATATGTGTTTTTATAAAGTTAGTTATAAAAATATAGTATTCTAGACAATAATAATAATAATAATAATAATTAATTGTTGACTGGCTTGGTAATCTAATAATTAACAATCTCTTCGGTTTTAAATTTTTGTAGTAATGGTTAATTTAGCAGCGTGAATGATTGACCTATTTATTGAGATGATTATAATAATTATTTAAGCTTTGCTATATTTAGAACTTTTATATTTTCAAATATCTGATCATTGTT